CTGCGCCCCCCCCCAACCCCCCCACTTCTTTCAAGGCAACAGATGCTTGCGATAAAAACGAAAAAGAAAAAACACACACACACACAAGCAAAGAAATCCGATAAGCCCAAATCCCTCAAGCAAGAAAACCCTCGAACCCTGAAAACCTTAAGCCCTGGCAAGAAACGGGACTCCGCCCGGATGTCTGCAGTACGGGAAAGTTGCGCGGACCATTAGCATTTGCATATGGGGGGGCTGCGCCCCCCCCCCAACCCCCCCGCTTCTTTGAAGGCAACAGGTGCTTACAATAAAAACAAAACATCATGCCCTCGCCATGTCTGCAATACATGAAGTCTGCTTGACCCCTGTCCGAATAAATTTGACCGATACCGTGCAAACCCCGGACCTTGGAACCCAGAAAGCCCTGGACCCTTCACACCCATAAGCGCGTCAGATTCTAGGCTCGGATGCCGGCTACCATGCTCAAGTGTTGTCGGGTTCCATGCTGAAGTGTGGGCGAACGATGGGGGTTGGGCGTATAATAAGGCCCCATTAACCCCATAATAAGCATAATAAGCAGCTATTACTATAGGGGGGATTGACCTAAAAGATCTCAGACGTAGTAAACGTAAAGCCGAAGCCCGACATCCAAATCCCTAAGCCGCCCCATCCCCCTCAAGTTCCCCAAACACGCAGTGCTGAGGTGAGCTATAATCTAAACTCCTTAAACGGGTTATGTAGGGGATTCGATACCTATATATATATATATCTATATATTCTTTTTTTATGAAGCCCTAAACCCTAAACCGGTTTAGGGTTTAGCTCAGGTGATATAGAGAACCTCAGCCCAATCTCCGCTCCGTCTCTCGCTGGGACTGAAGAGGAGAAGTGCATGGAGTCACAGGCGAATGGTTTAGGGTTTAGGGGTTTAGGGTTTAGGGTTTAGGGTTTAGGGGTTTAGGGTTTAGGGTTTAGGGGTTTAGGGGTCTAGGGTTTAGGGTTTAGGGTTTGGGGTTCTATCCAGGTTACTCCATGATTGCAATTCTTATCGCTATTCTTGTTTTTTCATGTTCATATCTAGTGTATCATTGCGATTATTATCCATATTCCTGTTTTTTTACCAACAGATTTTAGGGCTTTAGCTTTTTGGTTTAGATCTGGGGCTGAGGGCTTGGGCTTGAGGGAGTTTGGTCTAGGGCTCTAAGTAATTGCCGCACATTTGGGTAGTTTAGTTTGTGATTTGGGGCTCATGCTTTTGTTGTTTGTTCGTGGCTTGGGGTCATTTTCGTTAGCTAAGGGTCTGGGGTTAGTCTAGTGTCTCACGTTTCAGCTTTGAGTTTCATGGTTATTGTACTTTACCTGCTTCAGAATCATCCACCTTCAGAGGACACCCCACTCATGCCTAAACCCTCAACCCTAAACCCTAAATGGGGGATTGTCAAAATTATGGTCCCTTTTGGGGTTCCTATTATAATACGGGGCCTAATACGGGGCCTAATCTAGGGGACCCCAAAAGGGACCATAATTTTGACCATCCCCCACATGTTTAAGACGATTATGGGCCTATCAGTCGGCTTTGGGTGCGCTTAGGCGTTCGTGGGGTCCTGAAAGCCGGGGTTGCATGATTCCCGAAGGGTTGAATGTGTTTCTTGGTACCAGGACCTTCCTTGTACCCTTAATTGGGGATATATGGTTCCTAATAGTGGGTACTTAGGCCCTAATAGAGGGTAGGAGGAGGGTCTAGGTGTTAAGAACTGGGTGAGTAACCTTTAATTTGGGCCTTTTGAGGTCTATAGAAGCCTACCATATTGAATGGCAAGCCTGCTTGGTGGCCAGGAACTCATCAGCTGGGGCTAGGGTTGTGCAGCATTGTAGGACTAGTCAAATGCGCTTTTGGTGACCTTCATTCCAGGGGACTTGTAATATGAGCCATCGTCTCAGCTCCATAAAAGGGGTTCTATAGGGGGATTCTATAGGGGAGTACTATACGGGTTATGAAGGGGGATATTGAAAGTTTAGGTAGTAGCTCATATGGATGTCAAAGCTGTAGATCCGCATATGTTTCAGGCAGGCAGGCTTGATTTCCCTTAGTTAGGATCGCGGTTGAGGATAACCTGTTGCACAACCGTCTCTTCTTTCGGGTTAAAGGTTTGCCCCTGCTCCCTCGGACATCTCAAATTGCCCTGGAGACTCCTTTGCAGGCTCCTTTTGAAACTCCCCAGGATTAATTAGACCCTAAATCCTAAACCCTAAACCCTAAACCCATATCTACTTTACAAGCACCAGGTGGTGATCAAGAGCACCTTCTTGGACGTGGAGGACGCGCTGGTGCATCTCAATAGGGCCCATTAACACACCATATGAACCATAGTCTAAACTCCTGAGAGGGGGGATATATACGTGATTATATAGGGGATTGCTATAGGGGTTAGTAAGGGGGATACGGGTAGTTTAGATTATAGTTCATATGAGGTGGACACTTTTTGTTGGTTGGGCGGGGGGGGGGGGATTTATAGGATTCCTTAGGAACACTATCTTGAGATCACGAAGAAATCCTTGGGCCATGTACTAGACCCCAAGCCCTAAACCCTAAACCTTAAATAAATCAGAAAATCAGCCAATGCAGACCCTAAACCTTGCATTCCTGGGACCTTGAAGCCCGCAGCCTTACGCACTTCTCAAAAGATCCTGGTATTATAATATATGTAGGGGTAACATTGGCATAATGGAAAAGTATTTTGGAAACTACTGTAGTATAATGGTATATATATATATTATCCTAGCAAGTCCTTTTCTATTTCCCCGTAGACCCTGAATTCCACATGGCCCAAGCTTACACTGCGAAACTCTGCACTCATCCTGCCCTTGCTAGGACTATGTCCGTTTGGGTTAAACCCCGTGCCATAAACTCATTGCCTATAGACCCTGAACCCCAAGTCCTAAACGCTAAGCCTCAACCCCAAGCCCTAAATCTAAACTTTGAACCCTAAATCCTAAACCCTAAACCCCTTTCGCCCAAGCCCGCCCTCAGACCCTCCAGGACTGTCCGAGCTTGGCCAAGCGCTTCCGTACTCTCCGAAGAGTGCCTTGGTTCTTAGGGAGCCCACTAACTCCTAAACCCTAAACCCCAAACCCAGACCTTAAACTGCTCTATGCAGGGTTCGTACGGGATCCTGTATTATGAACATATCGCCCCCATAATGAAAATCGAATGGAGAAGAACACCGAACATGAAATGGAAGGTCTAAGTACCCAGGGAGCCCAATATCCCTGAATTAAGGAACATGGTGGCTTAATACTATGGGGGTCCTAGCATGATTTAATTGATATGCCCAAACTAAGCCGTATGGGGTTTTCTGGGTGGTTCACAGGGTCTAGGGTTTGGGTAGCATTTTAAGATGGCATAGTCTCGGTTTAGTTGCAGTAGATTACCAACCTTTATTTCGCACAATCACCAACAAATTGAGCCTGAGTGGGGGCTGGGCCCATTTGCTTGTGGCTTGTAGGATGAGAAATAATGGGGTTTTGGGTCCCGCACGCCGTTTAGGGTTTAGGGTTTAGGGTTTAGGTAGACAGAATGTTTTTGCGTAATTACAAAACCAATATTTGGATGTATTTGGGTTTTGGTCCTTTGTGGTGACGTAGGGCTGCTTGCGTTGAAACCTCTAGTTTACGAGACGGCAGATCATTAGTGTCATTCACCCAAAGACCTACAGAGTCCAACCTAAAAGACAAAGCCCCAGCCTCAGAACCCTCACAAGTCGCAAGCTGAACCCTAATCCTGAATCTAACATCCTGCAGGTTTTGGAATGGCGGGGGGTTTAGGGTGTTCCTAGATCCTAGACCCTAAACCCCTAGAAGCCCTCTTGGCCTAGAGCAAGACGGACTCGGAGCTTACCTGGCCATCAGATGATGATGCGGCGTATCAGCCAGGGCGTTTCAGTGCCTTAGCTCTGCTTTCAGGGTTTAAGGTAATGTGGGGGTCTCCAAAAACAAGGGGTGCCTTTTTAGGGGTTCCCATAGCAAGGAGTATAGTGTTTGGGGGTCTATATTGGGGTCCTCCTATGTTGGGAAGCTACCATGCGTACCCGGGCTTAGACGGGTCGGGGGTTCTATTCCACGTAGAAACCTGTATATCTCGGGATGAAGTTATCATCTGTTCCGGGTTTTAGCCCTACCTGAACCCCAAAAGTATGTAGAATAATGGCCTTTTGGGCTATATTTAGGGGTCTTGGGCTATTATTTTACCCTAAGTTCCTGGTTTTAGCACCTCGGGGTTTGGGGTCCGGGTGGGGGTTCACCAGGCTTTAGGTCTTGGAATTCTGCAGTCCAGGGTTCAGCGGGCCGGCCTAAAAGTTCCGAAGCCCTAGACCCTAAGCCCTAATCATGTAGGGTTTAGGGTTTAGGGTTTAGGGATGATGAAAGGTGTTTCTTTGATGTGTGCCCCAGTCATTCTGGCATTTTGTAGCAGGTTTCTCCCTGGATCCTGAGGCAGGTCAATGTAAAAAGGCCAATGCTATCATAGCCTTTTCAATTGGGGTTATAGTCTAAACTCCTGAAAGGGGCTTATACAGGGGATTATATAGGGGACAACTATAGGGCTTATTAAGGGGGATGCTAGGAGTTTAGAATATGGCCCACGTCAATACGGCACAGGGTTCTGCCCCTACCCAGTTTTGCGAAGCGCCCGGACACAGGTGTCTTGCATGGTCCTTTGCATTTGGGGGGGTTCCAGCCCCACCATATTGTTTGGGCTCAGGGTTTTAGGGCACCACGTTTTCTCTCTTCGAAGTACCCCAATGTGTAAAGATTCCGAAAAATTGCAAGCATCACAACAACGCTAAACACTGGGGATACTTGGGGTTTGTATATGGCTTACAGGGGCTATAAGCATACTAAACCCTAAACCCTAAACCCTAAACCCTAAACCCCAAACCCTAAACCCTAGACTTATGAAGTCCCGCAATCCTCATTCAAAGAGCCAAGGTGATGAAAAAGCAAGTCTGCCGCCGCCGGCGTTCCAGGTGGACGGAAAGAACTTATGGATAAGGACTACAGAACTGTCAAGAATATAACCCCTGTATAGTACTATTGTGATTATTATTATTACTACTACTACTACTACTACTGATAAGGACTACAGAATTATCAGTATTAGAGGGCATTACCCGAAAGAATGGAAATAACATGGACAAGAAAAGGGAAAATCACGTGGAAGCGGGGGTTACATGGCTTTGTAGGGTGTGTAATGTAGAAGCATGAGCAACTACCAAAGCAACTGCCAATATTATGGTTTTATATTCCTCGTTTCATTGTGGTATAGGTATCTCAAGTAAACCTCAACAACATAGAGGCAACTACAACTACTAGGCTTCTAGATTATGCAGGCAACGAGGTTGCGGGAGACGTCTTGGGAGAGAGGTTCGGAGTTATGCTTGAACCAGGGATCAAGATTTTGGCTTGCTTTCATGAAAAGGGGTTGCGGGGGGTGTTCGGCATCAGCTTGAAAAAAGGGTAACCGCCCGACGATTGGGAGCCCCTCCATGACATCACTACAAAATACTCCCGGGCAACCATTTGTAACCTCCTTGTGGCCCCCCAAGTGGCGGCATACCGTTAAGTGATAACGCATGTGTCCTAAGGAAAGTTCAACGAGAAAAATAATCTCATGTGGACCAAACGAGTGAAAACTTGCTTAATTCTGATTTGCAGTAAAGAAGCACACCGTGAAATCATGGACTATTGATCCCTGAGAAATATTCAGCTAGAGGTGTCAGACAAGTTACCACAGGGATATCTGGCTTGTGGCAGGCAAACGTTCATACTGATATTGCTTTTTGATCTTCCAGGGGCTTTTTCTGTCGTCAAGAGGCAGAAGTCCCAAAGCGTCGGGTTGTTCACCCGCCAACAGGGAAAGTGAGTGTCGTGAGACGGGCTAGTTTTACTTGCTGATGAACTTGATGCTGCGACAATAATATTTATCAAAGTCAGTATGAGAGAATCAGGTCCAAGTATATAATAATGATCCACTTCCCCAAGACCAAGACCACAGTTTCTCATAATCAAATCCCAAGTACCGCGATCATTGGGTGCTTGAACACTCTGGGTAAGGGTGGCGCTTGTTTTGAGAAGCTCCCAACCCTAAACTTCCAACTGTAAATCCTAAACCCAGCTTGCAAGCCGGAAGCTATCCTTTGAGCTCCATTTATCTGTTTCTCCGAAAGGACGCTGTAGAGTCCTGTTAGGTTCCATGTTGGTTTGGGGGGCTAAGCTGTATCGACCACTTAAGTGCTGAGCAGGAATTCCAAGAAGGCTTGATACCTGTATGCCTTAGGAGGACCCCCACCCTGTAATAGTGGGATAATATAAATGTAAGAGCACCTAAATATAATCCTTATTATCCCTTATAGTCACTACTACAGGGTGGGGGGTCCACCTAATGTATACCCTACGGGCAGTAGACAAATTTGAGGCCGCAGCCTCTTTGGGCTCCAATTGATGCAGGGATGATTTCTGCACATGTGGGACCCCTGTACCTTCCTTTGCGAAAGTATGATGTGCCAAGTCTACCCCAAGATAGGTGTTAGCACCACATTTTTGACGCAAGAATAAGAGAGATCACCATGAGGGAGCCCCTGCGTGCTTGGATCGCTAGGTGCCCGGCGCGGATGACCAGAGTGTCAACTGCGAGGCCCGTGATAGGCTCTCGTAGTCGCGCGAACCCCTGAGCCCAAACCAGGGCCCATCAATGACTTGGCGAAATTGCACACCCTAAGCCCTGAATCCTACCCTAAGGGTCCAAGTCCTTAATAATCATATACTTACCCAAAACATGTACTATAATTACAGTTACCCAAATCCCAAGTACCCAAATATTGGGTACATGGACCCTTAGGGCTACTTACACAGTCCTTCTGCCTGCCAACTTGAGCGGACCAGTTGCTCAAACGGTTCAGCTCGGACATGTCTCAAGTGTTGCGTATGGCCTGTCTCGATCTTGTTTCCGACCCCGAGTTTGTGAGTTTAGTCCTGACGGCTTGCTGGTCAGCATGTGGGAATTTCCCAAAGTTTGGGGGTCCGTATAATAAGGATTGTAGTATTTGGGGGTCTATCTTCCCCTATTTTGGGAAACTACCATGTGTTGCATCTTTGTACCATGTCACGGAGTCATTAATGGCGTGAGAAGAACAGATGGAGTTGCCTTGCCACTGCCTGCCCCTAGCGGCCCTTGCACTGAACCAGGGCTGGGGTTTCGGGTTTAGGGATTTAAGTCCACTTCAAGTTTCAGATGAAGCCTTTGCACCCTTGAGGCCATGACCTGAACCTGCAAAACATATACACGAAACTCTAAATCCTGAGCAATGCTGGCAATTAGCATGACCTGTGTGTTTGAACAATTCAACTTGCGCTACTGCCCAAGCATTCCAGCCCCAAAACCCTGCTCCCCTAGTCCCTACATTCTGCCTGAAGCTTGAAGTTTGGGTCAGGCCCCCTCACCCTGTCCCTAGCGGCCTAGTAGGAATCCTGGTGGTCACTGTCAGTGGGTCTGCCATAACCTAACTAAATCTTGGTCCAGGCAAAGCCTAAACCCCTAAACCCAAAACCCAAAACCCTAAATTGTAGTTTCCATTCTCTTTTCCATTATCCCAACATAACCCCAATATCCCTAAACCCAAAACCCTAAACCCTAGAAAAGACAATGAAGGGCCCGCGGGAGCCTTCTCCTGAGAGACAATCTCGTGCGAAGGCTGGCCAGGGTATACTTCCCTGGAAAGAACTGAATGAGCTCAAGTCTAAACTCCTTAAAGGGGGGGTTATACAGGGGACTACTACAGGGGATACTTTTTCTACAGGGGACTACGACATGCAGGGGATACTTATACAGGGGACTACTACAGGGGATATGAAGGGTGATACTAGGAGTTAGCCTTTGGCTCAAATGCCGTCATGTAAGGGTTCATGTTTGCGGTTCAAGGTTGAGGGTTTCTGGTTCTGGGGCCCCAGAATGGAGAATCAAATGAAACGGAAGATGGACTATGTAGTGAAACAGGGGTCATAGACGGGCTTAATAGGGATCACCAGTAGTATGGTCTCATTCCTTGTATGAGTATAGTCTAGGGTACGTCAAGTAGACCCCCAAAACTGGGTTATGGAGGGTTTTGTACCCGTCGGGGTCAAGGCATGCAGGAAAACCTACATACATTTATAATCCCTCCTCAACTCCTATATAAACCCATGTCTGCTCCATGATTGGTGAGAGTGGCTTTGAACGGTCTAGGATTCAGGTCTCAGCCTTCGCAGGGGTTGGGAGTTATTGGGTTAAGGGTTCAGGATTGAGACTGTAGGGTTTAGAGTCTACAGTTTGGAGTTTTAGGGTTTAGGGGTTTAAGGGTTTCAGGTTTAAGGGTTAAAGGGTATGGGTGGCAGTTAGAAGCAAAACTGCCCGTGCCTACTCGGGAACGTGCAGGGGGGAAGGAGGGTGTTGGACTAACCCCAATATATACCCTGTTATATAGTGGTTTCCATTTTCTTTTCCATTATGCCTATATATAACCCCAATAGTATACACCATATTCTATCTACCTAAGGGATGGAGATCCTTCTTCGCGACGTCTCTACAGGAACTTTGAACGTTCAACGCGCTTGCTATACATGTTCGAGGGCCGGATTCATGGGCATGACCATATCCGTTTTGGTAGTCTGGCAGCGAGATTCTCAAAGATCTAGCCCGCCCAAATTTCGGAAATCCTTCGTTACCCCCAACCGAAATCACCAATGACTTCCAAACAACTTCCAGAAGCGTTTGCAATATCCATGCATCCCTAGAGTGTCTCCATTTAGCCTAAACCCGATACATCGCCAGAGCCCCTTTGAGGGGACCAAGAGCTCCAAGTTTGAGAAATCCCTACACCCTAAGCCCGAAGCCCTAAACCCCATATGAGCGATAGTACGGAATATAGAATAGTAATAGTAATAAGAACTATATTAACGATAATCATGATGAAAACTAACAGCAATAGTAGTAAGACTACTAGTATTGTACAGGGATCTATTCCCGTATTTGCTATTAAGAACATGGTTGGGGGAAGCCCTGGAGGCTCGACGACCTGCCACGATTTGCTTGGAGTCAGCACTGAGGCTCGCACTTTACGATTATTGGGAGGAGAGGGTTTCGGGTTTAGGGTCTAGAATTTTGGGAAGAGAGACTTAGGGTTTGGGGCGCGAAGCCCCCTGGACCTGAAACTCGAAACCCTAAAACGCCTGGAGCCCTACTTCTTAGTAGGATCTCGAGTGTAGCATTGGGAAGAAGGTTTCAGGGTATCCCTACACAAACGTGAAGGGGAATGCCGGTAGGATTTCAGGGCTTGGGGGATACCAGACCTGTTCTTTCAGGGTATAGGATTTCAACCCTAGCCTTACCCTGTACAGGTGAAACTCGAAAAGCCCTGCATGACGCAGGTCCCCCTGAGCCTAAATCACCCCAAACTTTGGCGCTTGGAACCTGAGTCTGGGTCCCGTTCGAGGGAACCCTAAACCCTATTTAAACCCTAAACCCCTGAAACCTGCACCCTAAACCCCAAACCTAAACCCTCAACCTGTTTGCACAGGCCTTTGGTCATCCTTCTGCAATTTCCGCAGGCCAAGAAGAAGCTGCTGTGCAGCGAGTGATGACTTCTTTTACTTCCTCTTCGGCTCCCGAAGGTGGAGAGGGATGCGCGAAGAGCTCGCGGAGAAGATGGAGAGATGTTTATCAAAGGGTTTAGGGTTTAGGGTTTATCATTGCCACTATTACTTTTAGTATTATCATTGTTGTTATTATGATTATAGTTAGTATTATTATTACTATTCTATATTCCCTACTATAGCTCATATGTGGTAGCAGGCTTTGTATTGAAAAGCCTGATGCACAGTCATGATTCGGTTTCAGCATGCGGTCCCATTCAGAGCTTGCAATGAGAAATGCTACCCTCTCATAGCCCCCTAATAGCTACTGTAGTAGGATGTAGACCAAAAGACTTATTGTAATCACTTTGGCTCGTTCCGGTGAGTTTAGGGTCTGCGGCCAACAGCTTCCTGCATTGGTTTCAACAATTCGCGGGAACCATGAGGCATGCATGGTACCGCCCAGAAGCTAGGTACCTATCACCGACCCCCAGCCTTATACCTTAGGTGGACCCCCCCATCCAGTAATAGTGACTATAATGGATAGTAAGGATTTTATTAGGGTCCTCTTATATTCCTATTATACCACTATTACAGGGTGGGGAGTCCTCCTAACTTATACCTCAAGTATTTTTTCACATTACGTTTGCCTTTGCGGTGCCTAAACCCTAAACCCTAAACCCTAAAACCCTAAACCCTAAACCCACATTTAAGGTGGCAGTAGGATCCGGGGGGAGCCATGCTGTGGAGCTTCAAAGCTCCAACTCCAACACGGTTTAGGGTTTAGGATTTAGGCACTAGGGTTTAGGGTTTAGGGTTTAGGCACTAGGGTTTAGGGTTTAGGATTTAGGGTTTAGGCACTAGGGTTTAGGGTTGCGGCACTAGGGTTTAGGGTTTAGGGTTCAGGGTTTAGGGTTTAGGGCCCCGGAAGAGCCCAGCTTTGCAGGAACGGAAACACCATGCAAACTGTATCAGGTTTAGGGTTTAGGCTTGTTAGTAGAGAGCGGGGGAACGGATCCCTACAGGAGCCCCTATATAACAATATAACAGGGGTGGGTTCGAGCATACTCTTTGATTTTCACTACCCTTAATCCCTACATTATCTTTTTTTTATAGGCCCCCCCCGATCCTACCTTAGATAACCCCTTTTTAATGTAGCCTTCATCTCTTCATTGCCCTTCGTCTCAACCAGCACGCGTAGAGAATGACCCGAGGCAGGCCACCAAACTCAAAGCCAAAGATCAAAACTATTGGAGGGTTTAGGGTTTAGGGATTTAGGGCTTAGGGGGTCAGGGAGACTTAGTAAGTAGGTTAATATAGAAACGATGGAAAAGAAAATGGAAAGTACGATAATCATTAGGGCATATAATATAGGGTATATATATGTATATATAAATCTTAGGGTTATATAGAGATACTGGAAAAGAAAATGGAGAAAATGGAAACTACTATATTATTCAGGGTTTCAGGGTTCGAGGGTTTAGGGCTCCAAACTCATGAGTTCGCCGCCTGCCCCCTTCTAAATGCTACTCGCCTGGGTTCTTCCTTTCTAAGCGCTGAGTGAGCCGTTAGCAACCCTAATTTAAGGGGAGCCTAAGAGACAGTGCCGAGGGGGTAGTAGAGGAACCCAGAAGAGATTCAAACTGCTGAAAGCAAGCGTGAACCTTAAACCTTAAACCCTAAATAGTAGTTTGCCTTTTCTCTTCCGTTATCCCTACTATAACCCCAATATACTATAGTAGTTTCCATTTTCTTTTCCATTGTCCCTAAACCCTAGACCTGATTATAGTAGTTTCAACTTTCCTTTCCATTTCCCTAAAGGGAGCCTTGAAGCTGTAGGTGTGATGGCGTTGCCACTTGCCTGCTGGGGCTTCTGGCGGTTGCATAGGGTTTATATAGGATTTAGTTTTTATATAGGGGATATATAGGGATGATATAGGGTTTAGTTTTTTTTACATGGTAGTTTCCCAAAATTCGAGGTACGTCTCGGGGTGCGGGTTGCAGGCTTGGGGATCAAGAATCCTTCTTGCTGATGGCTTGCAGTTGTGGGTTTCGAGCGTTCTGGACTTGGGGGCATTTTTTGAGCCTCGCAAGCATCTGGCCAGGTGATGTTCAGGTTTCCTTCAGCATGTCTTTGCTGCTCTGATTGTGCTGCAAACACCACCGATTTCCACTGCAGGAGGTGTTGGCAAGTTTACGACAGTCAGGATAACAACGGGCTAGCCAATTCCATGACCAGTCCGAACATTGTTGACAGCGCATGTTTTTGCCGCCTTAGCCCCAGGACCTCAGAGCATGCTGTGAAGGTAGCCTCCACAGGGGTCACTGGGTCTTCAGAAGTCACCTCCGAACTGCTCGGAACTTGTTGGAGACCCCAGATTTCCGAGCCCTACCCTCCAACCTACGAAAATTCGAGCCAACTCCAAGACCTTGCACCGGTTTCACAAACTCTGAAAACCCGCTTTCATGAATTTGTATTCTGCAATTGATGACCTTAGACTCCCCCCCCGGCCCATTTGCGGGCAACGCACATTGTAGCTGGTGCGGGCCGCCCGACCCATAATCCCCTCTACAACCCCCCCATGTAGTGACTGGGGGTTGTGGGTGGTGGGTAAGAGTGAGTAGAGGGGGTTTCTAGCGGCTTCCAAACGCTCTGAGCTTGGACCAGCTTCGGCGAACATAAGTTCCTTACGAGCAACCCAGTAAGTTGCTTCTAACCACTGAATCTCCAAGTGAGTAGTATTTTATTTGGGGATCCTATAGTACCAATTATAGAGTAAGATTATATACTCTTTTTGGGGTATACTATTTTATATAAGGAATATAATCTTACTAGGTTCAACCACCAAAAAAACATTACTCAAGTGAGCCTCATAGACATCATCCCCGACGGCTCTTCCTCTGCCTGGTGCTTGGTATGGAACGCGAGAATAGATCCCCATAGTCATCCCCATATACTCCACCAGAATGCCCACTGAAACCAATTACTCCATGTCCTACTAAGCATCAAAGAGTCTTTGTTTTTGCGTCCCGCATTTCTAAACCAACTAGAGCCATACTCCTCCGTTGGTTTGATCTCGCCAAGGAGAAGGATGAGCCTGAGAAAACAACAGCAGCTTGGTCGTTGAACAGAGAGTTTGGGATTGAAAGTTCAGCGGACAGGGTTGAGGGGTTACGAGTTTAGGGTTTAGGGGTTTAGGGTTTAGGGGTTACGGGTTTAGGGGAGGTTACGGGTCTAGTGTCAAGGATTTAGGGTTCCTCCTTCATGACGCCAGTAAGTTCAGATCCTACCCTTCCGCAAACTAACATGGACTCCATGCAGCTGTTTTATCTACGGACTTACCCTAAGGGTCCATGTACCCAATATTGGGGTACTTGGGATTTGGGTAATAGCAATTATAGTACAGCTTTTGGGTAAGTATATGATTATTAAGAACTTGGACCCTTAGGGTTAGTAGTCTCCATAAGATCCGTTTCAACACTGAACCCTAACCCAGATTCTCATTAGTAATTTCCCTCCCCTTGATAAGGATTTTAATAGGGATCCTAATATTTAGGCCCCTAAAAGGATGGTTGTTTTTCCCCACCCTCGCTGTGGGGCTAGATTTTAAAGTAGATGATGTCCTCG